GGGCGGCGGATTGTGATCTTGTAGCTTTACCATTTAGAAACTATGGCCATTTACCAGGACCCACCTGTTCTTCAACTTTGCTGACACACTATTAGGGTCCTTGAAAGCAGTATGAGCTTATTATAGGACAGGTGGAACAAGGATTTCATAATCTACGGATGTGCATGTGATGGGGGTGGCGGTGGCGGCAGTGGTGGTCAAGGAGTGGAATAGGGCCCTCGGAGTCTCACTGGCAGGAGGAGACTTCTGTGAGCAAAGGCAAAAATCTTCAACTAAACACCGAAGCTCACTAAAAACAGACAAATCCCATAAATGGCAGCTATAGTTGCTAATGGAAAGGACAATCTCCACGTGGCTTTGGTGTCAAAAGGATTACTGGCCACACACGGGTCCTTTTCATCACCGTATTCATTTATTCACCAAATATTTATTGCCCATTATGTACTAGGGGGTGTACTAGGTGCCGAGGTTTCAGTGGTGAAGAAGACAGACATGGTCCCTATCCTCTTGGACTCTCCTTCCCCCATACACCTCCTATAACATTATCTCTGACTATGGATAATGGAAACAAAAGACATACACATACCTCATGGATCCTAACATTTCAGACTGTACGTGAACATTTGCAACATTTATAGTTGGAAAGCACAGTGTTTGGATCAATATTAAAGTCTGTGAGGTCAGTTATGTATCATCTTTTCTGATCATCTTCAGTGATCTCTCCAGATGTTTTTCTGTGTTCTGATGTGATTTTTAAAAAAATTTTATTTACTTATTTGAGAGTGAGAGAGCATGAGAGGGGGGCGGGTCAGAGGGAGAAGAAGACTCCTCGCTGAGCAGGGAGCCCGATGCAGGGTTTGATCCTGGGACTCCAGGATCATGACCTGAGCCAAAGGCAGACACTTAACCAACTGAGCCGCCCAGGCGCTCCTGTTCTGATGTGATTAATGGAAACTAGCAAAGCTGTAAAAACGGAACTCATTCTCAGTGACATCCTAATGACAATTATTATAACCTTGCATACAATATAGATACTTGAGTGGAGGATTATGAAGAATAGGGAGAGACGTGTTCTTGGCATGGCAGGGCTGGCAAGCAATAAACATGGCCATTGTGAGACCACTGATGAGTAAAACCAGAGAGGATAAAGTGACTTAGAATGCATGATATCAAATATAGTAATATATATCATGAAAAAGATAACATTTTAGAAAGTAAGAGAATGAGTGCTACAGATGAAAGTCACAACTACCCATAGCATAGCAAACAACCTCAATATATGATTATTCTGGTCTGCTTTTCAAAATATTTGTTTATGCCAAGATGGATCTCATGACTTTGGTAATTATTAATAGCAGGAAATAACTTTGTATTTATAGTATCTTTCCAGTGAAGAAATTCACTATTTTAGATCTTACAAAAACAAATGCAGAGTGAATTAAATGGCACTTAGGTGAATAAATGCTGAGCCCAAACAAGAAAATCATCCTCTGACTGATAATGTGTTGGTCTATTGTATATGAGATAATGCTTGCTACCTCACTAAAGAAAGCCAATTTATTTTTATTCTTTTCTCTAACATACCACTCTTAAGATAAAGAAATTGGCTGCCTTAAGATATAGGCTAACAGGCAAATACCCACACAATGAAAGCAGGCGAACTGTTTTTTAGATAGCTAGAAGAATTCGCTCCTATTGGCCCTTCTCTCTTTGGGATTCAAACAATGTAATTCCTGCCTTGCCTAGGTTAGTGTTTTAACACTTTAGGGTGTTTCTCAGACATTTTTAATATATGCCCCCATGATGCTTTCTCACTATATCATCCTTGTATTCCTAGTAGCCAATTAGATTTGTTGTGCTTTATTTGTCTAGCTTGCAATATGAAAGCAAAATGCACACTGAAGAGGCTTTTTCAAATTATGCAGACCTCCCAGGAGATTCTAATGGGCCCTGGTAACATTATATATAAAAAGCATTCCAATTGAGTTTCTTATTTTTATACTTTTAAATGTCAAAAAGCAGTACTGTACATGTACAGTTCTCCTACTACATATTTGATTAAATAGCTCTCACTCACCATTGCTTCCTCTCATTTTGAAATCACCAGCCATTTCATATATATATACAGGACAGAAATCTTCCCTAACCTTAGTAAGAGAGAGTCAAACTCCATAATCCACAATCACCACAGGGATATTAGACCAGAAACCAAAGGTAAGTAGAAGGATGAAAGGTGAAGCCAAACAAAAGTAGAAGTCTAGGTGTATTAAATAGGGGTGAGACTGCTGGCGGTGAGAAATATTAAGGAGGATGCTTAACACTACTTTGTATTCTTGCCCAGCAAGGCCATTGCCTTTATGAAGCTCCCTTACCATTACGGGTTGAATCAGAGCCGTTCATCCAGTCACCAGATTCCAGCTCATTGTAGTTATCATCATAATCTTCACTGTACAGCTTACCCTCAGGTCGAGGATCCATGAAGCTCAAATGTGTGCAGCAAGACGTTGTCAAAAACTCCGACAATTTACCTGTTTGAATCCTGACAGTTACAGGGCAAATAGAAAACAGAAAATCAGAGGAAATCCTTTTAAAACAACACATTTCAGGGGGGCGCCTGGGTGGGTCAGTCGTTAAGCGTCTGCCTTCGGCTCGGGTAGTGATCCCAGGGTCCTGGGATCGAGCCCCACATCGGGCTCCCTGCTCAGTGGGAAGCCTGCTTCTCCTTCTCCCACTCCCCCTGCTTGTGTTCCCTCTCTCGCTGTGTCTCTCTCTGTCAAATAAATAAAGAAAATCTTTTAAAAAAACCCCACATTTCAGTAAGAAAAAGGATACGTAGAATGTTTGTGGTTGGGGGACTTCTAATGCTTTTATATATTAGTATAAATTTTGTAAATATGAAATTTTACAGCACTTCTAGGCATGGTGTAGTGTAGGCTGGGGTGTTGTGTTAACAAAGACTAAAATTATGGGTTCACAATCTACCAGCAGATCAGTTTTGTTCTCTTTCACCGCCATATACTATGCTGCTAACTATGTCAAACATCCAGCCAAAATCTCCACTGGCTGCAGAGAAGCTGGGACAGAATGAAGAGAAATCATCACAAATCCATCACATCATTAGAAAAAAATACTCAAAGATCATTTTGGAATTGAAAGATGATATTTGAAAATTTTATGAATTATAGAGGATTGTAGGCCATATCCTCTCCTATGTATAAAGCCAATTGCAAAACCCAAAGGGAAAGTCAGTAGTACTGATTTTCTCAAGAACCACAGCCTGGCACCTGGCGGAGAACATTATTGCTGTGGCTGCCACCAACATCCTGTACGTTTTCCAGGACACAATCAACTAAGGAAGCTAGCGCAAGGACTAAGCCTGGTCGCTTTCTCAGAGGAAGGACATTGTCCTCCTTTCCATGAAGGGGAGCAATGCGCTTCCCACTTCCCTTCGCAGACTGGAGGGACTGTCCTTCTGCCTTCAGTGAGGTGAGCTGTGGGTCGCTGCTCAAGCAAAAAACCCACTCAAAGCAGAATTGGTGGGCAGGCTCAATAAAGGCCATTACTCAAAATAGATGTACAAAAAAGAAAAAGAAGTCAGCTTGAAGGGGCTCCCAAAGGCCAGACCTTGGATAATTTGAACACTGAAAAAAACAATGACAGGAATGGAGCATAGCATATTGAATAAAATCAGAATCCATGAATCTATGCTACACTAAAACTACAAAATAAAAGGGGATAACGGAAAGCTCTCTCTCTCTTTTTTTTTAACACAAGGATTCTAACTAATAAATATGCACAGGATGATAGAAACACAGAATCATCACTTTAAAACCCCATTAGTAATAACTGATTCACCAATGGAAGGTAAGACTAGTTAAAGATTATCATAGAAAGGATATGGAGAAACCTACCAGATACCACTTTAACCAAACTGAAAGACATTCTGCATTATAACTGACCTTCTTTCTTCAAAACTGTGCTGAAAACTGTCATGAAAGGTTCACAAAAGGCTGGGGAATTGTTCTAGATTAAAAGACATCAAGGAGATATAATAACTAAATGCCAATGTGTGATCTTTGATTGGGTCTTAGAATGGGAAAAAAAGGTATGGGAAAAAAACATTATTAGGACAATTGGGTAATTGTGAATATGGACTCCAGATTAGGTAATAATAGTACTGTATCAATATTGAATTTTGTGAGTGTGATGATTGTATTGCAGCTATGAGAATACCCTTGTCCTCATAAGACAAACTGAAGTATTTAGAGTTGAATTGTCATGATGTCTCTGGCTAAATCTCATACTTCAGCAATTAAAGTGTGTGTGTGTGTGTGTGTGTGTGTGTGTACATTTGCACATATGTATGTGTGAGAGAGGGAGGAGAGTAGAGAAGAAGGGAAGGGAGGGAGGACTGAGAGGAGAGGAAGGAAGAGGAGCGAGAGAGAATGTACAAGTGAAACAGATGTTACCAACAGGTGAATCCTAAGGAAGGGTATATGGTGTTCAATACCATTTTTGCACACTTCTGTAAGCTTGGAATTTTTCAAATAAAAACTTAGGGAAAAGAGAAAAGAAAAGCAGCCAGAATTGAACAGTTCAGTAGCTTTTTTGCTTTTGAAAGAATAAGTTTTCTGGTCCACTGAATTGATGAGGTCTAGGCAAAGAACAGGGTGGGGAAACATTCCAAGCCTTCTCTATAACATTAAATTCCTTCATTCGAACTATCAAAAACGAGTTCCTCTAAATAGAATGGGACTATACTGTGCAACGGATGAATTGTTGAACACTGCATCTGAAACTAATGATGTACTATGTATTGGCTAATTGAATTTAAATAAATAAATAAAAAAGACACAGAGAAAGGCATTACAAGTCTACCATTACTATACCCAGTTTCCAAATTTCATTTCTTTTCACTAAAAAGTGTGTAGAGGTCACTTACCTTGCTCCACCAAAGTAGCCATCCTGCATTTTTCGGAGTGCTGCTAGGATACTTGAATTCAAGCTGGTTCCGTCTTCATCTTGAAATGAAGAGAATTTTAAAACAATTTTTTGTGGTTTTAACTTTGAAATAAGGGGAATATTTCAATTATTTCAAACCAACATTTCTGGTGGTAATGGTACAGATGAGACGCTCTTCATTGTCCACCCTGTATTTCAACAATTGGTCTGAGAGCCAACAACACCATAGAATGGGCAAGTGGTAAGGGCGATTACCAATAGACAGAGTTCCTCAAAGATAGTATCTTATCATAAGCACTTAGCACAGTGCCTGATGGTGGAATACTTAATGGTTACTGAAAGCTGACAATAACAACAACAACCATTTGTTTAATGTTAGGTGCCAAGCACTGTGCTAAACATTTTATATATTATCTCATGTAAGGAGCCTTGGTGTGTGTGTGTGTGTGTGTGTGTGTAGGCATACAAAATAAAGAAGGCTAACAATTACCTGACTTTATGTGCAGGGGATCATACTATACATACTCTTTCATGATCCACTTTTCTAACTTATCCTTTGTAAAAGCTAAAAAAGATTCCAGAGCAGACATTTAAACTGTTTTTGTATTATAAGCAACACTGTGATGAAGATCACTGTACTTACATCTTTATGCACCTATTCTGTGATTTCCTTAGGATAAATTCTAATAAGTAAAACTGTTAGGACAAAGGGAACACTTACTAAAAATTTTATAGAGACTGCCAAAATTGCCCACTAAAAAAGTTGTGCCAATTATATTTCCACCATCAGTATAGAAAGCGGCTGTTTTCCCACATCTTTATTAATGATCTTTTAAATCTTTGTTTATGTGATACTTATAAGATACTGTTTTTATTTTTTTATTGTTTTATTACTAGCAAGTAAGATTGAGCATGTTTTCAAACTGAGGGTTGCTGGAGTGGGGGGTGGGTGGGAGGGATGGGGTGACTGGGTGATAGACACTGGGGAGGGTATGTGCTCTGGTGAGCGCTGTGAATTGTGCAAGACTGTTCAATCTCAGATCTGTACCTCTGAAACAAATAATGCAATATATGTTAAGAAAAAAAAAAGAAGATAGCAGGAGGGGAAGAATGAGGGGGGGAAATCGGAGAGGGAGACGAACCATGAGAGACGATGGACTCTGAAAAACAAACTGAGGGTTCTAGAGGGGAGGGGGGTGGGAGGATGGGTTAGCCTGGTGGTGGGTATTAAGGAGGGCACGTTCTGCATGGAGCACAGGGTGTTATGCACAAACAATGAATCATGGAACACTACATCTAAAACTAATGATGTAATGTATGGAGATTAACATAACAATAAAAAAATTTAAAAAAAGATTGAGCATGTTTTCATGTATATACTGGCTATTTGTATTTCTTTTATGATTTGCCTGTTCGTGTCCTTTTCCCTCGCTTCTATTATTTATCTTTTTGCTAATTGACTTTCAAGGGTTCTTTATGTTTTGTGAATATTATTCTTTTCTCTACCATATGTATGGAAAATACCTACTTTGTTATTTGTCTTTCAACCTCAAACATAGTTCATTTTTGTACAAAAGACTTATTTAAATTTTCATGTTTTTGAATTTGCCAGTTTTTTCCTTTTTTGTGTCAAAAAGTACAGCTTTTTTCAGCTCAAGATCACAAAAACATTCTCCCATATTTCCTTTTAATACTTTTATAGGTTTATTTATTTTTGCTTATATATATTTTTAAGATTTTATTTATTTATTTGACAGAGAGAGAGAGAGACAGTGAGAGAGGGAACACAAGCAGGGGGAGTGGGAGAGGGAGAAACAGGTTCCCCGCCAAGCAGGGAGCCTGATGTGGGGCTCGATCCCAGGACCCTGGGATCACGACCTGAGCCGGAGGCAGACGCTTAATGACTGAGCCACCCAGGCGCCCTTATTTTTGCTTAGATTTTTAAACTATTTAGAATTTAATTTTGAATAAAATGTAAAGTAGCAGGCCTAAATGAATGATTTTCCCAAATGTATTTATTTACATATTTTTTCTCATGTTTTTATTTAGATCCCAGTTAGTTAACATACAGTGTAATATTAATTTCAGGTGTAGAATTTAGTGATTCAACACTTCATACAACACCTGGTGCTCATCATGACCAGTGCCTCCTTAATCCCCATCACCTATTTAGCCCACCCCCCACCTCCCCTCTGGTAACTGTCAGTGTGTTCTCTACAGTTAAGAGCTTATTTCTTGGATTGCTTCTCTCTCTCTTTTTTCCCCCTATGCTCTTTTTTTTGTTTGTTTTGTTTCTTAAATTCCACGTATGAGAGAAAAATAATATGGTATTTCTCTTTCTCTGACTTATTTCACATAGCATTATATTCTCTAGCCCCAACTATGTCCTTGCAAATGCCAAGATTTCATTCTTTTTGATGACTGAGTAATATTCCTCTATCTATCTATCTATCTATCTATCTATCTATCTATCTATCTATCATCTATCTATCTAATCTACTACAACTTCTTTATCCATTTATCAGCTGATGGATACTTGGGCTCTTTCCATAATTTGGCTATTGTTGATAATGTTCTTTGGCCTCTATCTGGATTGCAACTTTTATCATTATTTTAACTACAGTGGCTCTGTCTCCTCTCATCATTTTTAGTTTTTTAAAAATCTGATTATTTTTGCACATTTTCTCTTCCATATGAGATTTAGATTCAGCTTGTTCATAAAAATTTGAGTTTTTATTTTGATTTGGAATTGCACTGAATTGATAGATTAATGAGAATTGACATCCTCTCAGTATTAACTATTTCCATCTAGCAACATGGTATGTCTCTCTAGTAATTATAATCTCCTTTTATGCTCTTCATTAGTTTTATAATTTCTCATATGATTCTATGCATGTTTCTTATTAAGCTTATTCTTATATGATTTACTTTTCTAGAACATTTGTTAATTTTATCTGGATTTACAAAATTAAATTTGGTATTCTCTTATAATTTTTATTATTTTTTATCACTATTTTTCTATTTATTTGAAGCACAGTTGAAAAAATTGGTACACTTTGGAAATTTAGTGGCACAAGGTATACATAGCTTGAGGGACGTTATACAGTTAAAAAAAAGCGGGGGGGGTTACTAAGGGCATAGTCCAAGGTGGCAGAGGAGTAGGAGATCTTAGTTTTGTCTGGTCCCAGGAATTCAGCTAGATAACTATCAAATCATTCTGAACACCTGTGAACTCAATCAGAGATCTAAGAAAATAATAGCTGCAACTCTACAAATAGAAAAGCACTTTCTATTTGAATAGAATTCAAATTCAAATTCAAATTCAAATTCAAATAGAATTCACTTTCTGTGAGAATGACAAGACGGACAAACTCATCTCAAAAAAAGCGAACAAGAGGCAGTACTGACTGCCAGGGGCCTAATCAGTATGGATACAAGTAAGATGTCAGAACTAGAGTTCAGAATAACGATTATAAAGATACTAGCTGGGCTTGAAAAAAGCACAGAAGACACTAGAGAATCCCTTTCTGGAGAAATAAAAGAACTAAAATCTAATCAAGTTGAAATAAAAAAGGCTATTAATGAGATGCAATAAAAAATGGAGGCTCTAACTGCTAGGATAAATGAGACAGAGAATTAGTGATGTAGAAGACAAAATGATGGAGAATAAAGAAACTGAGAAAGAGATAAAGACCTACTGGATCATAAGGGGAAAATTCAAGAGATAAGTGATACCATAAAGCGAAACAATATTAGAATAATTGGGATCTCAGAAGAAGAGGAAAGAGAGAGGAGCAGAAGGTACAATGGAGCAAATTATAGCTGAGAACTTCCCTAATCTGGGGAAGGAAACAGGCATTGAAGTCCAGGAGGCACAGAAAACCCACCTCAAAATCAATAAAAATAAGTCAACACCCTGACATATAATAGTGAAACTTGCAAATCTCAGAGACAAAGAGAAAATTCTGAAAGCAGCTTGGGACAAGAGGCATGTAACCTACAATGATAGAAACATTAGATTGGCAGCAGACCTATCCAGAGACCTGGCAGGGCAGAAAGGATTGGCATGATATATTCAGGGTGCTAAATGAGAAAAATATGCAGCCAAGAATACTTTATCCAGCTAGGATGTCATTCAAAATAGAAGGAGATATAAAAAGCTTCCAGGAAAACAGAAACTATAAGAATTTGTGATCACTAAACCAGCCCTGCAAGAAATATTAAAAGGGATACTTTAAACGAAGAGAGAGCCCAAAAGTAACATAGACCAGAAAGGAACAGAGACAATATACAGAAACAGTGGCTTTACAGGTAATACAATGGCACTAAATTCATATCTTTCGATAGTTATTCTGAACGTAAATGGCCTAAATGTCCCAATCAAAAGACACAGCATATCAGATTGGATAAAAAAAATAAGACCCATCGATATGCTGTCTGCAAGAGACTCATTTTAGACCCAAAGACACCTCCAGATTTAAAGTGAGGGGGTGGAAAACCATTTACCATGCTAATGGACATCAAAAGAAAGCTGGGGTAGCAATCAACAAAAAGAAATAAAAGGCATTTGAATGGGCAAAGAAGTCAAAATTACTCTTTGCAGATGACATGATACTCTATGTGGAAAACCCAAAAGACTCCACCCAAAAATTGCTAGAACTCATATGGGAATTCAGCAAAGTGGAAAGATAAAATCAATGCACAGAAATCAGTTGCATTTCTATACACTAGCAATGAGACAGAAGAAAGAGAAATTAAGGAGTTGATCCCATTTATAATTGCACCAAAAACCATAACATACCTAGGAATAAACCTAACCAAAGAGGCAAAGGATCTGTACTCAGAAAACTATAGAACACTCATGAAAGAAATTGAGGAAGACACAAAGAAATGGAAAAATATTCCATGCTCATGGATTGGAAGAACAAATATTGTGAAAATGTCTATGCTGGGGTGCCTGGGTGGCTCAGTCGTTAAGTGTCTGCTTTCGGCTCAGGTCATGATCTCAGGGTCCTGGGATCGAGCCCCGCATTGGGCTCCCTGCTTGGCGGGAAGGCTG